TATTATTATTATTATTATTATTATTATTATTATTATTATTATTATTATTATTTAGTTAAAAAACTTAATATCAGTCAATTATTAGATTAGAAATCAACAATAAGAAGTGAAATTACGATAATTACGTTGTAAAATTTTATGAATATGCAGATAACGTGCCATTTTTGCGACCACTAAAACCGGTGATGTTGGTGCGACCTTAAATAAATAAATTAAAAAAAAAAACTTAAAAAAAAAGAAATAAAAGTAGTACTGGCGTTCGTGCTTTTATACATAGCAAAATATGAATGCAATAAATGTTATGAATAATAATCTCTAATTTTTAACAATTATGGTACTGCTCATTCCTCTGGAGTAATGATGGATCCCATTCAATACTCTAGGCTGATTGGTTAGCAGGATTTTTTGATATGGTCGAGTCGAAAAAAATGCTTCGGGTGCAAACGGTTAAATAAATAATATTTCTCGCATTCGCTGTGTTAAGCGTAAAAATGCTCCCGTCCGCAAAGGGTTAAACAAATCGGCAATCTTAGAGTACGTTCGAACTGTTCCTTTCTTTCGGATTGCTCGGTTTATTCGAACCGCTCGCTTGATCGCTTTTCCGAACTTTCCGACAGCACTAGTAGCCACGTTAAAATGTAAAAATATTTTGTAAGAACTTTTATTCGTCGAAGTAATATATTTTTATATATATATATATATGTACAGTTACTAAAGTGAACGGTGTCATACACCAATGTAAATAGTTAGACAGGTAGATGCAGATGGCACGATTTGATTCGAAGAATGTAAAAAATCGATTTCAATTCTATTGAGATGTGCTAGTTTCATTTCAACTGTATGTTTAAGTGCAGTTTTTAGGAGAATCCATCGTTGTACCTGGGCTTTGTCGCATTTACCCTCTAATCGTCGTATTCACCCCATGGGAAGATTCTTTGATGTCTATTCGCCCTGTTCACTTGAGGGGTTGCTAATGAAACCACGGGAACGCGATACTTTCTGCTTCCCTCCAACGCATTCAAATAAATAGACAGGCAAAAGCATTTTTCAGCTTGAGTGTTGCCTTTGGATTTGTGCATCGGCATTTATTCATGCCACTTGTCTTTTAATTGTCTATTACTTCCTGATTGAAGAATAGAATCAATTTTGTATTAAACCTTTGTAATAAAGCATTCTAATGTTGCAGCATTTTATCATTTTTAACATTTTTGGCATTGAAGCATTTTAGGATTGAAGTAGTCCAGTATTAAAGCAATTTAAGATTGAAGCATGGTAGTATTAAAATGTTTTAGCACTGAAGCATTTTATCATTAAAGCATTGATGCATTTCAGCATTGATACATTTTACTATTGAAATACTCTAGTATTGAAGCATTTTAAAATTGAAAAATTGTAGTATTGAAGTATTTTAGTATTGAAGCATTTTAGGATTGAAGCACTCCAGTATTAAAGTAATTTAAGATTGAAGCATTTTAGGATTGAAGCACTCCAGTATTAAAACAATTTAAGATTGAAGTATAGTATTATTAAAGCGTTTTAGCACTTAAGCACTTTATCAGTAAAGTATTGATGCATTTCAGCATTGACACATTGTACTATTGAAACATTCTAGTATTGAAGCATTATAAAATTGAAAAATTGTAGTATTGAAGTATTTTAGTATTGAAGTATTCTAGTATTAAAGTAATTTAAGATTGAAGCATTTTATGATTGAAGCACTTCAGTATTAAAGCAATTTAAGATTGAAGTATAGTATTATTAAAGCGTTTTAGCACTCAAGCACTTTATCAGTAAAGTATTGATGCATTTCAGCATTGACACATTTTACTATTGAAACATTCTAGTATTGAAGCATTTTAAAATTGAAAAATTGTAGTATTGAAGTATTTGAAATATATGAAGTATTTTAATATTGAAGTATTCTAGTATTGAATCGTTTTAGTAGTGAAGCATTTTATAATTAAAATCCACGAATTATATGTATCATTCGTTTCTCCGTTTTCGTCAATGTAAATTGACTCTCAATCGAATGATTTTAATTTGAATATAATTCCTTTTGATTGCAATTTAGGAATTGCACGAGAGCAAAGATGAAAATTTTACATGCGCTGATATCGATCTGGAACAACTTCTTTAATAATGCCAGAGACGAGCATGTTCAGACGGTCGTTGCTTCAACGTAGTAGACAATTCGATGTTCAAGGGGATCATTAGAGGACTGTGCCAACTCCGTAACTTTAAAAAGTGTAGAGAGCGTCTGTAGAAAAGCCGGTAGGTTACAATGCTTATTATCCAAAGGTAAATTTTGATATTTGTTGAAAATCAGAGATGAATATGCAAAAATCGGGTTCTTGTATTTTTCACTTATATATGTTCATACATTATATCAAATAAGTACTGACAATTCTTAATTTAAAAAGTTGGAATAAAAACTATGAAAATAAACAGTGTGCTGTAAATTACAATAGTTCCCAACTGTTACATGGAATTTCGACGCCGTGTGTCAACTAGTTTGTCTACAGCTATTGGTTTTCTTTAATGAATAAAAATATCGAATGAAGAGTTTGTCCAAACACGATATAATTCGGACGATATTTGCTATGCATTTTTTTTCTTAGTTAGTGTTCTACAAGTAAATACATGTATATTGCGAATTACGTCGTGTTTGGTCTTATTTTAATAAGAAAAATGTCAGGATCAGAGTGGTAAAAGTTTAACAACAAAGAAGTTAATAATAAAATTGTTTCACCGTTGCATTAAATTGTCACACCTACATACTCTGGTGTTATCGTTCCGTCCTTTTCTTTATTCGCTGTCCCTCTCTATGTTCGAAGCTCGTCGGCAAACATCAGAGAATATACGATCATGTAAACACTGCTACGCGATCGAACTCTCCGACACCTCAAGGGGTATACTGCCCAGTGGTGGGGGATGGTTTCCGTGCATTTATGGTAGAGATATTTGTGCATTTATGGCGACTTTACTGTAACACGTTTTAGAAAACGCGTCCAAGTTCAAGGTGATCATGTTGAACATTTGCTGTAGCAGTTAGTACGCAAATAAGAAAATTAATGAAGTATTTGAAGAGTGTCTTGAAACAATTTATTTTCCATTGCAGTCAGCCTGTGTAACCTTGAATGCTCTTCAACTATAGGTCATTGTATTCGTCTTGAAACGCTCTATCAGAATGTGTATATGAAACTATATCATTCTATTAGGTAGACTGGAAAGTAACGTCGTTTCTTTTACATTAAATTCAAATGAATTTTTAATAAATTTCTATTTTTAATCAATTATGTAATCGCCTTCGTTATCAACAACCTTTTGCCATTTAGTGTGCTAATTTTCAACGACATATCGATAAAAATCAATGAGCTGAAGTATTTAAAATTTCACAAACGACATTACTTTCCAGTACACCTAATATTTAAAAGAACAGAGTCGACCTTCATATCTCCTTTACGCTTCCACCGATAAAAAAGTCATTTGGTGCCACATTACGTGTCTCTCGAAATCAAACAATTCTTATTCGACACTTTTTCTTCTATCGCTGAAAGTAAGCAAATTATTCATGTGGCCTGTTTTACATGCTTCACCCTGTACATTTTTGTCTACGATACACTAGCATTTATTTAAGAAAATTCATTGACTTATATAACGTCTCTGTACATTTATGAGTAACGGCTAATTTATTTTGACTAAGACTATATAGGTTTACCCAACACGGTCATTTTCACCTACCCCTAATTTCACATCAGGATTCTATAGAAACCGTTTACACTTTTTGTCAACCATTTATGCCGACTTCTATCCGTATAAAAAGGCAAGCATATAGGGTGTTCAAAAAAAAGCATTCAATATTTATATGGTGTATAGGGCACACTGTACTGAGTAAAAATGCTTTAGTAAACATAGGTCCAAAGGTCAACCGTTCCTGAGATATAAACATTTTTGTTTGCTAGTATCATGATTGACTTACATGCTTCCATCGCGTGCGATGTTTGTGTCAGTGTTTATAAATTGCGCTCTGAATATTTCCATTCAAATACAGACAATTTCGCCATTTTCATTTTTTCAATTTCGTGTACAGAAATGAGCGGTGGACACGTGGAAAATCTTCTATAAATATCGAAAACCTAGTAGTAAGTCAATCATGATACTAGCAAATAAAAATGTTTATATCTCAGAAACGGTTGACCTTTGGACCTATGTTTACTAAAGCTTTTTTACTCAGTACAGTGTGCCCTATACACCATATAAAGATTGAATGGTTTTTTTTTTGAACACCCTGTATATCCAAATTCATTTTCGTCTAAACCTCCCAATTAATTTTACTAAATCGACACTTATTAAAGAATGTATTATATTAGAACTTATTACCGAATCTTCACTTACATATTAAAGCATTACTTCAGTTATAGAAACTCGATAAGAAATCTTCGTAATCCTAGCATTAATATTCTCTAAATATGACCAGTCCTACTCAGCGAGAATATCCGAGTGCAAAGGGTTGAGATCGATCGAGACTTCGAAGACCGTGCGCGCTCATATAATATCGGAGAAACGATTCGAATAGTTCGCAATCTCGAATGTTTCCAATCTCTCGCAAGAGCCAGATTGAAATGGGCATCGGTACTGGCCCTGGTTGGGCAACGTGTAGTAATCGTCAGTATCGCAGGAATGTCTCTGTATCGACCTGGCCCTGTAATCAACTTAACCCGGTTTTCCCTACCGTAGAATTTTCCAACGGTGTTTCCGTCGCCGAGAAAAATCTTCGTCGGGCGATGGGGAGAGACCTGTGATATACATATATATAGTTGCGCGCGCTTGTGCAACGATTTTCTGCGCTTCAATCGGCGTGCGTGAGGCTCGAGGCTCGGGTTCAGTCAGCGAGGCGCGTTCGTGAACGGTACGCGTTCCCGTACGCGTTTTTCGTCTCGCGTACCGTGCTGCGGGCGTGTTCACCTCCACAGGTGAGTACACACTGTTCACGCATGTGCACGTACCAGATTCCGGGAAGCCCCGGCGCAACGCCGGAATGTCAGTGGCCGGTTCAAACTGGAAACTCTCGGCTACGTTAAATTACGAAGTAACTTTCATTACCTTGCCTCCTTGCGTACCACCGTTTACAGACTTTCCGCGCCCGCGCCGCACCGTGTGTCGCCTAATGGACGAAATACAAAAATTCGAAGTACTGGAAGTAACATCCTATATTTCAATCCTTGAAATATTAGTAGAGGAATGTAGTTTACAAAATTATAACTATTATTTAATACACCAGTTTATTGTTCTTAAAGCATAACATTTGAGAAAAAATCTATGTATTATATTCAAATACGTGCCATTGGTAGAATACTTATTTCATTTCAATTTTTCTAGGTTGACTTTGATATTGTAGTACAGTTAAAATAAATGCGTAATTTAAATGCAATAACGATACTTTGTCTTAATTTTTTATATAATAAGTTATCTATGTATAAATGGACTTCAAAAGAAAGTACCACAAAGTATCACTGTGATCTTTTGTATACCAATTTTGTGCATATGAAACTTTACATTAACGTTAAATTTATTGGCCGAAATGAAAAATCAGCCAAAATCTGGATGAATTAAATCACTACGGATGCAGGTTCTGGCAATGACTCTAACACTCATCTTTCCTTTTCATGTTTAAAAAACTATGTAATAGATAATGAATTACTAATACCATGTTTGTACCTGTTTTATTGTAAAAACTTTGGTCTCGAATATTTTCGTTTCCATTTGCTACTTTGGTGTAAATAATGCAATAAATAATACACAACTATTTATTTGAAAAATACATGCCGTATGGATATTTATATATTGTGTAACTTACACTCTTTATGTATCCCAGCATTTAAAGTAATTGTGTATATAACACCGTAATGCTTCAAGAACTACTTTGTTTCTCAATTTTCGTCAGTAAGTCTAGCTGAATCTTTCTTATTTTTTTGCGATATGAAAATTGTTTATAGCTTGATTTCAATATTTCTGGAGTGAAAATACCATTGACAACAATTTTGTTTCTAACTTCATGTTCTTACGAGTTTTTTTTTAAGCTCATTATTTTCTTTTACCAAGAAAATATTGTTTCTATTACAACTTGGCGCAGATGATTTTTTAGTAATCTCAAATATTAAAATATGCAAATTTTTAAAAATGTTGAAATGATATGTCAACTTGATGTTTACGTTATAAAGTTTCTAAAGTGCTGAAAGTGATATCGATCGACAGCAATGCAATTTCAACGGACAATTACGGGTTGCAATGCTCTTTGAACTGTTTCTGATGGGATAACTGCATAAGCTTGAATTATACGACTTAGCATATTCTCTGAAGTGTCAGGTTGTTGTTCGTAAATATATTCTTCTAATCGTCTCTGTACAATGCAGAGTTTCGTATTAATTAAACGACATCATTACACATCTGTGTGTTGATATGATCTTTTGTAGTATGCTAGTTTAGTGCTGTACTTTATTTTCGTATTCCGACATTACGTGACTGTAATTTAACATGAAAGTAGAGATTCTAGACTAACATGAGTATGTCGCAGATACGACTAGCAAGTAAAATTAAAACGTATTGACCTCAGCTTACATAAAGAGTCATTCTTTCATTACCTTAATTGTCACATGTTTTGCAGAGGATTAAATGATATTACATTGCAACGACATCTAACTTGCATTCAAGCGAATGGTTTTTCAAAACATCGGCGGATTACGTATTACCGAGAAACATATAACACTGAAAATGAAGAATTTGTTTTAATTTCTTTTTAATTGAGGAAGTCAGAGTTAGAGAAAGTTTTGAAGATAAAATTAAATATCAATTTAGTGTTGTAGTATAACTATTATAATATTTAGGAAAACTAAGTGGTTGCAGCAAATGTTATTTTAACTTGTAAAAGCCAAAAAATACCTATACTGATATGAACATGTACAATAATTATAGATTTTTTTAAATATAATACAAGTTAATATGAAATTTGTACTTTAAAAATCGGGAATTACTTAAACTGTTTGAACCAGGAAGTGTCTGATCGATATGAAATTAATATTTAATAAATTAAATGTTTAAAGACAAATACAGATGAGTTGAGTCTTTTATTCTGAAACGCGCAACATGAAATGTATATTTTGACGCTTCTAATGAGATCCTTTTCCAGGAACTGTGTTCGGTTAACATGTTTCTCTTGGAGCTTTAAATAAAAAACAAAAAAGGTTGAGAATAGAATGAGAATAAAAAACAAAGTAACGTTGAGAAAGATAATATAAATATATACGAGATATTTCAAATCATAGTGGTGATGAATAACAATATCAAGTATCAAACTTCAAAAATTGGAACTCTTAATTAACAATAGAATTTAATTAAATGTAGGTATAACAAGGCAAGTATTTAGTGTTCGAAACACTTCTGACTTCTATGTAAAATACTGCCGTCGGTTACACTATATTTACAATGTTATAAAAGTATATAAAATTATACGGACCACTTACGCGATAGAATACAAAATGTTCGTGTGTAAATTCTAAAAAAAAATACCTCTTTTTTCTGTTTTTCGTGTTTCGTTCGACAAGTCTTCGAAGTGAAAATTGTGTGAAAACATAAGATGGATTACCTGGCAATAGGCTATTCTTGAAACTTTATGATTGGAGAATGTTGGAACACCGCAATGAAACGACAAACTTTTTCTGTTCTGTTATCTTTCGAGAAGTGTAGGACGATCGTCCTGAACCTGATTTCAGGATTGTACATAAGGGAGTCGTGCTGAAATTGCTTTCATGCGATTAAGGTCACACATGTACCAGCGGTATCCCTTTTTTCTCGTTTAAACTTCCATCTTAACCGAGCTTAGCTCACACGTAACACTGAACTTGCTTTTACCGATTATGCCAAAATTACTAGACTCTTGAGTAAATAAATAAAACGAAATAAGGAAGAAACGTAGTCTGTACAAGTATTATTATTTATAATAATAATGTTGGATTAGGAAACAATACGATAGAGCTATATTTTACAAAAGGGACCGTGCATATACACCCTATGTCCGAAAACTAATCGGAATGGCTCTAGTTTAATAAATGTAGCGGCATAACAAAATGTTCAGAGTTAGTAAAGATGAAAAGGTAAAGAATGAATGAATAAACAAGGCTTAGTGTATGTTAGAGACAGGAAAACATAAAGTACAATGTAGTAATAATATTATAGCTAAGTGTATATAACAAACTATAGACTAAGAAACTCTGTATAAATTTTGTACCACATTGAGGTGTAACATAGACCTCTAGTAGTCCATAACACCTTAATAAAGAAAGAAAGAAAAGAAAGAAATGTAGTGGGGCCATCCATTAATGGCTGATTATTTTATGACTTGTTGTCAATTTTGATTAACCTTTAAAAGTTTCGTGCATTTCGTTCACCAGAAGCCAAGATACATACATTTAAGTGACACTAGTTGATATACGTTCGTCGAGAAATGAATAAAGAGCATCGAATCAACATTAAGTTCTGTGTTAAAAACGGTAAAAGTGATAATTGTTTATCAAAGACACAAGTTTTTAAGTGGCATCGACGATTTAGAGAAGGCAGAGAGGATATGGATGATGATAAACGTTTAAACCGGTCAATTGAAATGATATCTGAAGAAAGTCAATCAAAAAAGTACGTAATTTCGTGAAAATTTCAAAAAATTCTTCAGTGAGTGTTAATGCTGAGTATTATCTTAGCATATTGAAGCGTTTGGTAGGCCGTATTCGTCGTGTCTTCGTCGAGAACCTGGCAGTTGGCAATTACTGCACGACAATGCATCTTTTTTTGAACAAAAAACCAAGTTTTTTTGCTTCAACATCCTCCATATTCTCCCGGTTTGGCTCCCTACGATTATTTTTTATTCCCCAAGTTGCATTTGGCGATGAAAGGAAACCGCTTTGCATCAATTAAAGATATTCAACAAACAACGACGAGCAATATCAACATCATTCCAATTACGGACATAAAAAAGTCATTTGATGTACTTTTTGAACGTGAAAATCGTTGCATTTCGACTGCGGGAGAATATTGTGAATAAACAAAATGATTATGTCAAGATTTTCTAATTAGTACTGTTATTTTTAAAGCCATTCCGGTTAGTTATGGGACAGAGGGTATATTCAGAACAAAAAATAAAGAAAGTCTAGAACATCAAGTGGACCGTTTTTTCCACTCATTAATTGATAATATAAAGTAAATGTGAAAACAGCATTTTACTTAAGCAAACTAATTGTCATTGAATCATTCAGCGTACAGTGGATATACATATGCAGTAGCGTCATATGGTATTCTAATTTGGCAGTGCAAACTACATTTCTACACATAAGCTGTTATCATCACACAATGACGTTATGGTCATTCTGCTAATGGGATAGTAAACAGATGGTACCGGACACTTTGTTATCTCATATCGAGTACGATGCGCGTGCAGGAGAATTCATTGCGGAAATCGCATAACACTATTGTAGTAATTGTTTATGATTCAAATTAATCCGTTCGTTTAAATTAGAAACTTGAATTAACAATTTATGATTTGCACTTTCTTGAACCATGGATTAGTTGGGAAATAAATTTTCAAATTATGCTTTCCTAGACCAATTTAGTCCATAATTTTGTTAGAGTATTTACTGTTTACGTATTGAGCGTTTGCAATAACCACGCGCTTCTTAAGGGAGGAAATAGGTTTAGGACTACATTCTTTTAGTGGTACGTATGCATTTTTTTCTCAAGAAAGGAATATATATATATATATAATTTATCGAAACTTTGGGAACACTTTATACATATATTCAAATAAATATTGTAATTCTTTTGAAGTATTTCCTCAGAAAATATGGAAGATATCAGCTGCCACCAATCGGAAGTCACCATAAGACGTAACTATTTCAAATTTACTTCAGGGGCATGTCTTTCTCCTGTATGAACCTAACCTCCCCTCTAAGAATTTGCTAATTGAATTTTTAGAGGTGTTTAAACAAAAGAGCATCATTTCTTGTCACTTTTCATAAATTCTTTTGTAATGAAAAAATACTTTAAACAACGACATTACTCCAAATTTAGATTCATACAGAGCCTAATTATATAAAGAAACTATACATTTTTTAAATGATTGATTATGAAGCTTTTGAGCTAGAATGTACACAAATTGAAAAAAAGTCAAGGAAAACGCGTTTGGAAAAAGAAAATACGAAAATGAGAAAGATTGTTCCGGATAGAACACGTGTATCGGCAGAATTTAGGCTCCTTTGCAATCGTGTACCGTTAGGTCGTCAATATTTTAAGGTGATAAGGTGATAAGGTGAAAGGTGACAATAGTTTACGGCATGCTAGCGAAGCGAGGCTGTTTCGAGTCGATGGCTGATATTGCCGGCAATATCCATCTAGGGGTGACCGTTTACGGGGTCTTTAGAATTTCGCGTAGTCCCGAGCCTCAGCGGTCGAGCATGCCGTGGACTTGAAAAAAGCCATGAGTGGCCTGGGGCTTTCCGCGAGACACCGAGCGACCATCTACCCTTGCTCCGCGATACCGTTAGCGGGGGCACGGCGACTGGGGTGCGCGTAAGAGCAGGGGCGCCCTGATTGAGCCTTGGTCCCAAAACCAGGGCTAATGAGCGCGCCTCTTGGACTTGACGGGGGTGGCATCTAGGGTGAGGAGTGGTGGTCCGAGGTATTTTGGATTGTAACCCGGTGAAGCGGAACCAGATTTCGATTTGTCAAACTCGAAGACGCACGGGCGATCAGAGAGAACATCAATCGTTGTACACCTTGGTACTTTAAAATAAATTCGTATTTTTCCCTGTGTCAAAGGAGAGTTTTATATCGTGTCCACTTTACTTCCCGAATAAAGATCAAGTCAGTAATGAATTGATTTAAACTAATACTTACTGGTTAATCAACGATTCCAGCACCATATAGTAATCCTTTCTCTTCTTCATATCCTTCTTTTTGAGCTTGGAACTTTTCTTTTCGGGCTCTTTGAGCCTAAACCTATTTGCCCCCTTAAACATGGAGAAATTAATTTGCATACAGCCAGCGTAGACGATATGAAAACGTAAGACTCGCTGTTAAGGAAAATGTACTCCTATTCGAAGAAAACGACATATCAAAAAATTGGTACAGCAATCATTAATGATATAGTACGTAATCACCTGTAACCTTGACCTTGGTAAACGATACCCTGGTAAACGATGTTGTAGAGCACTTGTTTCAAACTAATATCTCATTAGTTTTCATTTTATAAAACTCCAAAAGTGTTCTCATTAACACTCCAGCGTTAGGCATTTTATAATTTTTTTTTTTCAATTGTTTCATTTCACGTCGCATCTACTCTTTGGTCATTAGTTTGGTTCATCATTTAGAGCTCATATTATTATACATATCTGAACATATTTTAATGTCAGCTACGCAATACAATAGAGAAGAAACCCGTGCATTTTTAAGCAAAAAACATTAATGACAATGATATTTTTTTTCAAAATATAAAACGCTGGAGAAAAAATATATTGCAGCATATAGGCTCCTCCATATTATTCAAATTGCATGTTAAATATTATTTGTATTGTTACAATTGGAAGCGATATTCAGATAGCCTGAATTAACTAGGAGAATCTGTGTGTAGTTTGAAATATGACCAAGTACTGTGTATTTTACCTTAATACCGAAAACTGAAAGCAAACACAGTGTTTTGGTATTATATATGCACCAGTGACTCGCTGTTGCGCAACAGGAGTTTTCGTATTTGACGTCGCTATATTGTTAAACAGTTTTTCGTGTACCACAAATACGAGATAATATTAGTATCGCGTAACAATTTAGCTCGTAACGTGCGGGCTAAAATGGTGTTGCAAGTATGTACTATGTAGCAATTGTATAATTGTTCAACTGTCCCCAATGCAGTACTGCGATTAACATTCACATATAGCTGAACGACTCTAGTCCGTTACAATTTTTTTACTGGCCAGCGAAGAAAGTTTTTATGAAGTGTTGAATTATTTGTGCACGATGTTAGCAGGGAACCCTGTATCCGTAATATAGTATTTCATTCTTTCAAAACTAGTAAATAATTATTCGTAAACAATCTTCTAATTATACGTACAAATTAAAGGATACTAATTAGTTCGTCTTACACAAAGTATTATATATTTTATGTTTCGATTTTTTGCCTTAAAAATATCTTTAGGATAAACTGAATTAATGTATGAAAAGTAAAACGATATATTTCAAATAAAAGTCGTGATAGCAGACATAAAACGTATTCAATATTTAATAATTATGACGATGTTAATTTTTATACAAAAAGCTATTATCTATTGACTTTTCTTCTTTTCATACTCCATCTGAAATTCTATAAGATATAAGAGTATAAGACATTTTTACTATTTCTTTTGGGCTGACTAATTCGTGGCGTTGAAATTCTTTTTCTATAGAAATAGAAAATATTAAGTTATTTTTTTTCAAATTCTTTATCACATGCTTTCTGATGGATGGTATTTGTTAAAAGGGTTTTAAATATATAGTTTATAATATATTATTAATTTTTTCAGATGTCTAAATTATCCTTTTTCGAGTTCGGGGTGACGTTTACTTTGCCTTCCGTATTAATCTATTCTGTATTAAGGAAAGCGAGTCTTCTTTATTAAAAGAAACGTTGATGGTTCATGTTTATTACAATTTGAGAAACGCTGAGGTGAAACAATTTATGAATCGTGATAACTCTTAGAAAAATATCGTTTTAATTTTTAAAATAATTAAAATACGTACATAAAATGAATGTAAAATATCCTATAATGAAACTATTTTTAGAAGAACGTAAACATGTAGAATAAAACTGCACATGTTATATTTTTATAAGTTACATAAACATAGTAAAAAATGATATCAGTTGTACCCGAAGTCAGGTAAAATTATCATATACATAACAAATTTCAAATAATTAGAAAAGGTAAACAGTGTATATTATTCGATCCATTATTTCTTCAATGAAAATTGAATTCAGAATAATACAATCAAAATGTCAGGTGTCAATTTTTCTCTACATTTTTTCTTACTTTTACTATATCATTTATTTCATATGTTTGTTATTAGACTGCGCTAGTAATAGTTTAAACGTGGACTTTATGCATTTATAGCGTGTGGTAATATCTGAAAATCATATACAAAATGTATGCAGAACGTGTTTTATAAAACAATTATTAATACAAAGTGCAATGGGTAACAAATGGTTTTGTTCGACTCGGATGAAATGTTGTTCAGTTGCTCTTTATGTTCCAACAGAAAGTATAAGCTACTCAAATTTCGAAAATATTAATAATAAATATAATTATTATTATAAATTAATTTGATGCCAGTCTTAAAACTACCATGACACTCTCGAAACCAAAACCACTTTCTGATGCTAGATAGCATCACCAAATTCTGAATACCGAGATTGTAGATGCCTATTTACATTAAAAATTCGCGTGTTTGTGATTTTTCTACAAATTCTACGATTTTTGTTTAATTCAGATAAAATTTTGATCAGCTGCTCTTTATGTTTCAACAGAAGTAACTTAATAGGCTACTTAAATTTTGGATATAATAGCTATAAAATAGGTTACAAGACTTTAAACGAGAGACGGGTCCTCTATCAAACGACAAATGTACTATAAATCATACGTGTTAAATAAATTTCAAATCTAAATATTTAACTTATACATGTGTTTTGTTTCGGTTATAACAAAGTAAATACCTACTTAAAATTAGAAATCGTTAATTTATCTAAGAAAATGAACAGAAGACTGCGATGTAATATAATGTTACTCAAAACGTAGTTTTACTTAAGTCAATTCTAAATAAAGATTATAATATAAATAAGTAGAATTACAAAAATGTGTCCAAACTTTTGCTATTTGCTTTGATAGTACATAATGTACTAATTTGACGTAATAGTAATTAATATTTCATTTTATATATGTGTATACGTTCTGTATATGTTTACTATCTGTTTCTCATGCCTGTTAAGCATATAAAATATACAGGATGTCCCAGAACTCCCGCAAGAACCGGAAATGGGAGGTAGTTGACAAGATTCTAAACAACAATTTCCTTTGCAAAAATGTCGGTGAGGGCTTCATTTTTGAATTATTAACGAAAAACACCGACCAATCACAGTGCTAGCTACGCCGCGCAGTTTTTCGTTAATAATTAAAAAGTGAAGCCTCCACCGACATTTTTGCAAAGGAAATTGTTCAGAATTGTGTCAGCTCCATTTCTGGTTCTTAAAGGAGTTCTGGGACACCCTGTATGCATAAAATCCGCAGTCCAGTAATAATAAATATTTAAATTGGCTAACTCTCTCCTAATAATTCGAATACAATGTTACGTATTATTCATTTATCTCCGTTTCAGGTACTTACCATTCGTTATATCTTTTAATATTATTCAATGGCTTACACGTAATTGATAACGTTATTTGAAAATTATGAAACGAATACTTCACTTACAAACGATGGAACGGCAGAGAGAAGCGAGGATTCTTGGTTCGAGAACTCTCACTACCTATGCCCCTGATTACATTACAGAAACGATTGCTATTTTCAACATGCAGCTTTCACTGTACAATTTACGTTCTTTTCGTATATATTACGCTGTCTGAATTGTATAACTTAATATCTAGTCGATACGTATGGTATAAAAATAGGTAATATCTCCTATCTACGTCATTGCATTGGATGAACAACACAGCTTAATCATCTTAATTATTTTAGCCACTACTGAACCTATTCAAATTATTATTTTCTTTGGTTATACTTCAAATAAGCATGTAAGGTTAATTACAATATAGCTCTTGTAAGTGTTCAAGTTCAGCCTCGTATTTAAAATGGAACGACTAGTTTCTGTGTGAGAATTAATTAGTTATTAATTCATAATTAACTAGCAAAAATTTGACTTGGATTGTCCACGAATGATCTTCTATAATAGATCCTCAAGTTCGTTCTGCTCCGAGCTGGATATTTTCAAAGACACACAACTTCTGAAGTAGCGCTGATAAGAAACGCACGTAATATATCAATTCAAAGATTACCATTTTATACTCGAATATCTCGGAAGCTATTATAGCTTTAAAGAAAACATATTTGATTACTTTTATTCTGAGAATTTTGTACCTTATCGAATGTAGCCGTTTGGGTTAAAAGAATTCAAATTGACGTTATGAATTTTGAAACAAAAAATCATCTCGCAAGAAATATACATACATATACATACATATAGTCTATATGTACGCTTCAAATGGAAATTTAGAAAATGAATAACTTGAATTAGTAATAATATAAAAAATATTTAAAGTGATCAAGTTGTCATTGTATTAATACAAAGAAAACTCAATTGCCATGACTCGATTGGAGATTTTTGTTTCTTATTCAAACTAGGCAACAATTGATTGAATACCATATGATACTTATACAATGTAGACTACTAATAATAATAACAATAATAATCTAATAATAGGATTAATTATGGATTTAACAACTGAACGATACTTCTGTATGATAAAATGAATTGATTCCATCTTCGCACATACAATATTTTATTGCACTCTGTTCTTCGTGCACTTTTATGCAACAAAGACAGTTGTTCTTGTATATCGAAATGCTGTTCTCTTCGTCTAACGAAGTTCCTTTAACACTAAAGCCATCAAGCCAGTCAATTTGACCCATACAGTGGATGTAAAATGTATTCTTACACCGATCAATTTTCGCAAAAAAACTTTTGTGTGAAATTGTGATTTATTAACATCTTTTTTTATAATCAATGATATTCTACATATTCTCGGAAATCTCTAGAATAGATATATGTATATAGTTCAAACAACAATTACTCGTTTATATAATTTGCGGAATTAACAAGAAAATACGAAAAATCAATAGAAATATAGAAGCAATAATTATTCGTATGGTTCTTATGACGAATCATTTACAGTAGAGTTTGTAACATAAACACATTAGTTTATTACTTCGTATGAATTAGAAAACATCACATTTCCAGTAAAGAAGTTTTAAAAAATGCTCTTATAAAAAATGCTCAGAGGAATGGAAGAAGATCCCACCCCGAATAACATCGACATTTATGATAGTTAATTTAATGGCTAGAAGGGTTGTAGGAATTATAAAATCAAAAGGAAATCCCACGAAGTATTAATTATTTATAAATTAACGTAATTTTCCTTTTTTTTTCTATGAAGTTTTAAAAATTTAGCAATTATACGAATAGTTTTATTCTATATCTATTCTAGAGATTTTCATGAATACATAGAATATCATTGCTTATAAAAAAGAAGTTAATAAATTACAAGTTCACATAGTTTTGTTGAAAATTGATCGGTGTAAGAATACTTTCTACATCCACTGTATATTCTGAACATTTTGAACAATGACTAAATTATTGATAATGCATTTGTCACAGAGACAATTATTCAATCTCAACGCCCCGTCCTTATCACTAACCATTTCAAAGTTAGTTTACATGTTTTTGTCGATTCATAGTTCAATTGACCACGGTCTCTCCTACTGAACTATTCATAAATTTCCTTTGACATTTTATTCCAATAGTACTGATAATGAAGTTATGACTTGTTACACTTACTGGCTCTACCCTGTATACTCACGAATTGATTTGCTTGTTCCATATCTACTTTATAAAATATTGCAGAAATCATAATAGTCGGTAGCTCTAGGTTTAACTTATACGTAGAAACGGTAAGATGCAACTCATATTCTTAGTCGAAAACGTCTCTAACTTAGCCACTATCACTCTGTTCAAGAGGGTAATATTCATTTCGAAACACTTCTTATCTAGCTCTTAACTAGAACGTTTATCCACGCAACAAGTCGTTCAGAGTTTAACAGCGACTCGTAACACACGCGAAGCAACGAGACGCGATCCAAGGCTTTTCAAATTATGGCCGGTAAACGCAAGTACATTTACGCTTAACGTGTATGCAAACAACGGCGCCAGCGCGTTGGAACGGTAGTCCTATTCTCCAATCGTCGTCGAGAACTCGAGAAACCATAAACAAACACAAGTGCTTGTAACCATACGCTTCTGCAATGCCGAGTTACAAAACAGTACCGCAACAAATTCAGTCTGTCGTTCGATGCTCGTACATCACTCCGGCAACAAAGCGTCGCCATTCGTCGAACTTGAACATCAAGAGGAAGTTCGTTACGCGGTCTCTCCGCTCTGATTCAATCTCTCCTTTTCCTCCTTGTCGCCCAGCTGGCTCATCGTGACTTCGTAAGTGGTGCTGTCTTTTCTGCTGGATCCCAAGCACGTGGTGAAGCACGTGTCGTCCTTGCCAAAGTTCTCACCGTCCTCGATGGTCTCGGGCATGGGCTGGTTCACCGTTTCGGGCAAGTACAACGACAGCAGACCGGACACCAGAGCGACGAAACCGAACAGTATCGCCGGCACTTTGGGATTCAAGGAATCCAACAGCATGATCATGGGAGTTAGAGCACCGCTGAGACGCGCGCACATCGAGCCTATTCCCAGAGCGGTGTTCCTGACCACTGTTGGGAACAGTTCCGCGGTGTAATTGTAAATGACCGCGAAGGAGCCAGCGATGCAGGCCTTCCCGAAGAGGACGATGACCACGATAGCGGTGGCAGCCATGTCGGACCCAGTTGGAATACTGGACGCGATTATGCAGCACACGCCGCCGATCAACATGAAGGTGCTGACCATACACCTTCTTCCGGTGCGGTCCATCAGAAAGAACATCAGAATGTACGACGGCAGTTCGACCAATCCGCTCAGGAACATCATTAAGTATGGGTTACCCACCAGGTTGCCCACGTTCAGCGACAGCCCGTAATAAACTAGAGAGTTGGCGAACCAATTCAGACACACGTTCAACGTTTTCTTCCTGAGATTCGGCGTCTTGAAGAGGTCCAGGGCCCCGTACGATCGGTCTTCCTTGTCCGCGCTCTGCACCTTCGCCTCGCTAACCATTTTCGCAGCGTCTATGTCCACGTTGTTACCGTTCATGTTCAGGCCCCTGCGCACGATCACTAAGGCTTCGCTGACTCGACCTTGGGCCCAAAGCCACCTAGGCGACTCGTCCATGAGCCACCAGTGACCGACGAGAAGGGCGCTGTGAAGCCCGTAGGCGATCTGCAGCCACACTCGGTCCTTGATCACGGCTCCCCACACGGCAACCAGCATAAAACCAACGGCGAAAGCTAGTTGGAACATCACTCCGCAGACGGTCCTCTTTGACGGTCCCACCAGCTCCATCGTGAGGACGAATCCTGTTATATAGGCACCTGCTGAACCGAATATGCCGTATAGGAATCGCAGAACGAGGAAGACGTAGTAGTTGTTAACCAAGGCCACGGACACTCCAAGGATCAGCTGCGCCACGGAGGACACGTAGAATATTATCTTTCGTCCGTACTTGTCCGCCAAGCTACCCAACGTTACAGCACCGATGAACACTCCGAACATGTAGGTGGACTGGGCTACCGAGCCCATCCATCGCTGCGAGCAGACAAAGTTCCATTCCATTCCACGCGACGATTTGAAGTACTGGGTGTCGTAGGTCCACGATTCGCAGTTTTGAATTGTATTATTGGCGTCTAGGTAGCGGCAGGAGTCGATGGCTCGAGGAAGACCCTCTAGTAGCGCGGATGAATTCCACGTGGAGGACGTCATGTTGAACGAGTCTATCATAGACGTGGATTCGGGGATGTTGCACTTATGTGGCGGCACAGCGGCGACCGTCAGCAGTGTTAGCATGTGGAGACCTGCTGTCAAGGCACCGATTATGTGCAGAGAGAATTGCCAGCACTGGTATTTACCGAACTCGCCCAAGTGAGCCATTAGCTCTTCGAGGTTTCTGTCCACGCTCGCCATGGTCACTTCGGTTCTAATTGATACACTACTGGAAACACTTGCCCTTGGAGCGATACGATACGATTTTACGTTGTTTATTTCGATAAGTTTCTTCTTCAAGGTTTCAAGATCATGCCATCCTGTTACGATCGACTCCTATCTGTTCCTTGGCTTAGGTAATGTTAGAATGATTTTATAGGGGGATCTTTCGTTGCTCTAAACTCGCTTCTGAGTTTAGGTAATTACCCAAGTCAATTGACCGTTTAGTGGAGCGGCCGATAAGACGAGACGATTAGAATGAACAGTTGGAAGTATCGTGATCGCGTGGACGCGTGGACTGGTCTGTTCTGGTGCCCACGGGAAACTGAATTATTGGATGGAATTATTCACACGAATAGCGACTGGACGGATGCTTCGTGTACGGAGAATGCATTACATTTACTTTTTACTTAATTCACAGCTGTTCTTGGGAGCTTGTGTGCATTTCTTTTTAGAAGTATCTCGGTGTTGGTTCGGCTATTTTGCCCACTTAGACCACCGTGGACGAATTATCTAGAAGGAAAGACGTAATATGATTATTCTACTGAAAATATTAATTGGTTAGGATTGGGTTGTCCAGAAAGTTCGTGTCAATTTTTAAGAAACATTCAAAGGCACACTTGAATTTCGATATATATTAGGTCTACTGGAAAGTTCTGTCCGATCCGGTTGCAACAAGTTTCAACAAGTGTGAGTATATTTATTAAAAATGATATACAAATTACTATCACGCTAGCACGATGCCATAAATAATGATAAAAGTTATATTATTCAATCAAACTTATTCGAGGTGTGAAAAATTTATTATTTTGTTGTATTCTAAAAACGGACAGAACTTCCCGGTAGACCTAATATTTATTGAATTATATAGGTACCATTTTTTTTTCACAACCTTTGCACCTTTTAAGGAATGTATACATGTTATTTGTTTTCAACCATTTCGATATATTCAGACCTGTACAATCTACCAAAAATCGACATGGACTTTCCAGGCAACCCAATAATATGTGATATAAAGGGTTTTTCAGAGGAGACTTTAGAATCTTGAGTTTTAATGACAAAATACAACTGTTGGTTATTTTGTTATCTTTCATGTTTAATTGTAATCATGTGTAATTTCATTTAAAATAAAAGAAACGGATGTATTTAAAACAAAATCCTATAGTACACAAAACTTCTAGTGATTTCAGAGAAAATGCCACACTCCAAAAAGTATGGGATACAATTATCATTATAATTTCTAACAGCTCTGCGAGATCAATCACTTATCGTTTGGTTGGAGTGATTAATTCATGAACGTACAAGTGATCAAGAAATAATTTCAATTTGGAAGATAAAATAAAAATGAAGCAGAAATGATCCAATTTATAAGTTTAAGCAAACATTTTTAACAGTATCTTTTTTCTTTTTTTGTTAAGTATTACTTGATAATTGTATTATGTTAGTATCTTATTTTGTTTGCCCACATCAAACCTCTTTTTCTAGGCTCTCTTTAGAAATATTCAACATGTATTTTGCACTTAACGGTTTAAAGTGTTTGATAATCAAATAGAAATTTACGTGAACTAAAACAGATAAATTAAGGCAAACTGAGAATATATCTCTCTTTGCTCTAAACATAAGACAAAGAAAGAAAAAGTTAAACTATAATGGATACGCATATTATATTATGAAACTCATTTTCTTCACACGACTGCACAAATTTGAGAATACTTAATAATCCCGAATGTATCTTTTTTTTTATTTAAGAGGTTCACGAAGCCCGCACTTAATAAAACATTTTTCAAAACTGCACCAGGTTGTATATCCAACGTTCTTCTAATTGGGATATTGGAAATTGTATGTACCGAATAGACACTTGTCCACCTGCGGATATTGAACTACTGAGACTAGATCAAATTATATTTCCCAAGGTAGTGCCTAGCCGATTGAAACGTGAAAGTGAACGCCGTGCTACGATTAGGAAATCTATCCACTGATTTGTCAAGTTCTGCATCATTAATATTGTAATTATTTAGTTGCCATTAAACAAATATGAGTATACAAACTGTCCTACCAGAAACAGGACGGCTAACTATTCCATTTAGGATTGATCCTAAAACATGAGCGCTGTGCACCTCTCTAAATATAACTTTTGCATAAAATTTCTATTTAGTATCATTCTGATATGTTTTCTCATATTTTCTCATATTTCTAGTTACCATAAATAGATGTACATCCACGTTCTATTAATAATAAATCTAATTAAAATTGTGTTTATTATTTATTATGACATAATTAATTAATATGTTCATAAGTGTATAGTAAAATTGTGTTTAATATTAAAGTGTATTTCATTATGGTTTACATAAGTATATTAATACAAATAATATTTAGTTGTTTGATCCCACTATTTTTTTAAAATAATAATTCAGTTCTCCGAATATATTTTTGAGCTGAGTTTTGAAAACGAAAAAAAAAAACAAGAGGTATATTTAACTTATGGTCAATAGAGTGAGCAACGATTACAAAGTGGGAAGTTCTCAGTCCCCTAGCGGTTGTTACAACTAAGGTTGGCTGTGTATCCAATAAACAAGTCGTCAACATTTTAGAACTTTTTCATCGAATAATGTCGTTCTACTCTATGAAGTGGAACACCATAAAATTGACTAGCTAACCTGGACAAACTTTCTCCTTTGATGCAGTATACGTTGTGCACTGTGGTTTTTTCAGTATTTCTTTTTTCCTCCTATATCTATTTCTTACATTTTATGTTTTCTACGACATAGAAAAATGGTAGTTTCACTGATAAGTCAAAAATAGCGAGAATTCACGTAATATATCAAGTGGATAACGAATGTTAAATAAAAGGAGATTGTTTAATTACGATTGTATACAATGATCTGTAGCTGTCACAGTATATCAGGGCACTGAAATATAATCCAAACTGTATTTGTAACTGTTATTGAAAAGAAAAGAATATGTTTTGAGTAAAGTAAAATTACGTAAGGTCCAATGAGTATAGATAAAAATAATAAGTATGTACTATTTTTATATTAATATATTATATATATTTTGTACTATTCAATTATCCAAGCGTTACAAAATATCTGTAATGTAAATACTCTGGCTTTACATTGTCAGTGGAGAAGATTGATAGCAAAGAATAATCGTAGACTTTCGAGAGGTATTATAGAATAGAACTAAAACTCTTGTAAATTCGTTTAATTCTTGGATTAATTTCGTTATCTTATTTTGATTTCTTTTTACAAAATTCTATCTTGCGCAAATGTAAATTATTATATTGTTTTAAACACTAGAAACACGAGAAATGTAAATATTATTATGTATTACCTAAGTTATATTAAGTTGGTTTTATTCGTTGTCTGTTGTTGCAATAGATTTCTGCCCCATTTTTAGTTCAAAAGAAAAATGTAAGAATGTATGTATGATTAAGTCTTAAAGGTAACAATAAAAGAATTTACAAAGAAAATGAAATATACATTCAAAAACATTATAGTTTTCCTTTGCTCACAGTATATAATATATGAGCTGTTACATTTGAAAATAGAATAAGTCCACTTAAAAAAAAAAATGAGTAACGGTAATTCAAGTAAGATATAGATACCTTTCCTTCATACTTGTAATCATTTATTCAATGGAATACAATTTTTTCATAAAGTAAACAAGAGAATTTTGGCTATAAAATGTTATCACAAAATTATTTTAATATTTTTTTTTTGTTTTTTTTTTTCAATTACATATTTAACGTCGCATCAACCTTTGGTTATTAATGACAGTTTAATAATTTTTGTTTGACTGGAATAAGTCTATATCTATGACAAGAGAAAAATACAACGATATAATGAGTTTACTGCCTTACATATGACCTACTCTTATCATGAATACTTCGCTATGTTAACTCTAAAGGAGAAATAAGTTTAAAATTTAATATTTAAAAATTTTTACTTATCTTAGCGAAGTAATTTACATTATTTTAATTAATAATCATGAATGGGGACATTAGATTAAAGAAAGTTGCAGGGATAATACGAACATTCAATAAATCAGAAGTTTACAGAAATTGTTGTTTAATGCAACATGAGACCGTTAAAATGTGTAATTAGTAAGAAAAAGAGTATAAAAATATTTACATCGTTGCATGGCGAAAGAAGAGATTTTTACTGTTGCTTGAGCACTGTACTGTAGAACACGTACCGGAAGTTCTCGCTGCATACGAGGTATTAAGATGGAAAAACGTTGTAATCTCGGCGAAGCATGCGTGATGACTTATCGCGCGGCTATCACAGATTTCCGTTGCTGCTCGGCGTAAGGCCAATTCTAAGAGCTCTCACAAACTGATAGCTTTACCCGATTGACAGTCATTAACGACGGCAAATGTCATAAGAGTTCACACGTAACTATGTGACAGCCCACGGCCTTGCTTTCTATAGTGATTACGACCTTCTGTCTTACGACCTTATAATTAACAATCATAAGCAAAAATATATATTCTGCCCTCCTGTATCCTGTATTTATTTAAGTTTTTCAACTACACAGCCATAGTCATTACACTGACGCTTTCTTTTTCATTATACGCTTCTCACTATCGCTCTCAGCCTTCTTCTTTTCGTTACTCCATAGTTATAATACTGTTTGCAGTATCTCTTACATTACACTACAGCCTCTAAGGGCTATTCTACCTTTTGAAGTATAGTGGTATCAACATATTTTATACGTCCTTTAAAAAGCATTATGGTTTTCCTTTGCCTTAAAATTGTAATATACAGGGTGTCTCAGAATTAGCGTAAGAAACGGAAATGGGAGGTAGCTGAGACGATTCTGAACCACAATTTCCTTTGCACAAATGTCGGATGGTGCTTCTTTTTTGAATTATTAATGAAAAACCATCGACCAATCACAGCGCCCAAGTAGCACGCGCTCGAACCAAGATACTCGCGACTGAGCGCGCGCTACTTGGGCGCTGTGATTGGTCGATGGTTTTTCGTTAATAATTCAAAAACGAAGAACCATCCGACATTTGTGCAAAGGAAATTGTGGTTCAGAATCGTCTCAGCTACCCCCCATTTCCGGTTTTGACACTAATTCTGGGACACCCTGTATTACACAATTTCAAATACATTTTGGATTATGTTTGCGTGCCTTGATATACTGCGATAGCTACAGAACATTGTATAAAATCGTAATTAAACGATCTCCTTTTTATTTATCGTGCGTTATCTATTTGATCTATGTATATCACTAAACCAATTAATTAGGAAAGTTAGGAATTTTTTCTTTGACATTCGTTAACAATTTCGATGCCATCTTTTTGCGAGGTCAGTTTACGTAAAGCTATCGTATCAAGATCATTTTATAATGTCAGTGGCCTTGTTTCCTACTTTAGTTAAGACCTTCGGTCGTGAAACTCGTGTTGCAATTATCAGTCATAAAGGAAAATGTACCTTGTTCCTTCTAGAATAAGTTGGATTCTCGAACTAACAAAGTTAAGAACTCCTTCTTCGGCATCTATC